ATCGCGCATCAAGATAAAATTTCTTCTGACGCGGTAAGATCTTAGAATACATTTAAACAAGTACGTAACCTGAGGGGAAAAAGATACCTTGTTAATCTAATTGAATGAGAAACAAGCATAATAACGGCGAGCAGCTCCAAGTAGACGTCCGTAATCAAAGCAAAAAAAACACATCTAAAAAATAAATGGAAGGAAAAGCGGATTCGTATTAGTATTCTACCGCTAATTTTACCTAAACTAAAAAATAATACTATAAATAATATTCCCATACGTAATGTAACGATTAAGCTCCGCATGTGAGTCCGCACGTACGATGTACTCACGTAAGTATCTCCTCACATAGCAAAGTACCTACCTACATACCGTAATCGTAATAATGTTTTAACATGTAACGTGCAAAAAAAAATGAAAAGAATGAAGACATAATATATGCGTGTATAAGATTAACAATTTTTCAGAAATTAGGTTTGAGTAAGAAAGCGAGAGCACTTGCAAAAATATGGTCGCAATTATAGATGTTATGTGTGTTCAGCGCAGTTGATTCAAATATTCGTAAAATATATTTTAAATTATTATTTTCATATTTTAAAAATTAATAGCTTTTAAAGTGCATAATGGAGCGTCTTATAATGATAATAATGATGCGATACATTTCCGATATAATTCAATCAATTATTATTAATATAATCGTATTAAATTTAATTAATTATATTTATTAATCTGAAACATTATAATAAACTAGCGATGATTTTAGTAATATTTTTTACTTAGGCTTTTACCTGCAAAATTTACAGCAGATCAAAATAAATAAACAATTTCGCAACATTAAATGCAGTTGGAAAAGTAAAGCTGCATTAATAATAATTTCCAAAACATCTTTATTAAAATAACAAACGATAAATGACAAACATCAGATTTCTCATTAAAAATATATCTTTTATCATTCATCAATACAACTATATGTCGAACCATATTTCATGTTTGTGCTCATCTTACGCATGTAGATATACAAAAACAACTATGAAACAGTAATTATGAAACAACACAACACATATTCCTATATCGGTTCTACTTCACGTTCAATCTGTTATCGTGTTAAAAGTGTACAACGTAATTATTGTATATTTCGTGGCCATAGTCCAAGGACACACTTTTAATTATTCTGTCGGAATGTGAAAAAGGGAAAAGTATAATCGCGCCTAAATCTACTCCGGCTCATTGTATACGGAAAGAAGTAATATCGTGGAATCAAAAAATGAAAGGGACGCATGTAACGCGATTAGCCCCGAAAATCGGTGTATCTATTTGTAGAAAAGCTTTATAGACACATGACTCTATTTACGAACTATTATTATTATATTATATTATTATCATTATCATCATCATCATTATTAATTATTATTTTTATTTTTTGTTTTAAAACATTACTTGTCATATCCACCATGTAGTTTTCGAATCTACAAGGCGGGCATGCGAATTTTATTATATTATTTTATTATTATTATTATTATTATTATTATTAAATACGATTTATTATCATTATTATTGCTTAGTTATGTTTTGATGTTATTACTACAGACACCGTTAATTATTAAGTGACGCGGCAGCAGCAAGTACTGCGATGATGACGGCGCCGATACGTCCGACAAATTAGAGATATACGTAATGCGTAATAATAATTATTATTAAACTTAGTCCGAAGAATTTGTACAGTATGGGGCGATGAGATTTATGGCGGCCGTGTTAGTTTCTATTTACGATATACATTAAGTCCTTAATTCTAGCGAGGCGATGTATGAATAAATGGATAGCATCGATGTACGAGCAATCGCGTCGGTTTTTGCGCGCATACATCCGACATCGACCACAGTGTTGGACTTGAGAAACGGATCGGTGATTTCCTTTCTATATGTTATTACGATGGCGATTCTTTTCCAAAAATTCGTTTCGAATAAGAAAAAGTCTTAATTGTTCATCAATTATTATATGATTGATCTCGTTCAAGAAAAAAAAGCTTAAGGGAATCTGTTCGTGCTATCGCAATTGATTATACTTAAACATTGTTGATCAAGGAATTTTTACGAGCATTTTTACACCTGCTCATCACTTTTACAATGGGTATACGAGTAACTTTAAAACAAAAACGCGTTCGACTTATTTGAAAATTGGCATTACATGTAAGAGATACTCTTAGAAAGTACACTATTATGGATTTAATTCGCGGTTTTTTTATATCACGCGGAATAAATCTGTATTCGATATACCCTGATCAATAAGGTCCCTTCTCGAATCTTTCGCATTGGTCGGAAGAGTGTAGAGATATAAGGCAGAAACTTTTTAGAATAAAAATTGTGCGGGCGCCGTCCACATATGAAGCTTTCTCTCGGCTTATATCTAAGCTAGCTGCAGCAACTCTATATGATTATAGAATATTATTCCAAATAACTGACGCGTAATCATATCATGTAACGTTCATAACGCTTCCCCATCCTCCGCCTTCCTTTCCTCACTCCTTCAATATGTCCTTCTTCCTTTTCTCTTCTGCTTCTACCTCTCTGTCATTTACTCGCTCTAATCTTATCATTATCGTAGATGTGTACTATGTCGAATTGATAGTACCCGATTAGGTATAGTTATTAAAACGTTAAAAATGAAAGCACGTAATATGTTAGTAGTACAACATTGCCCGAAGCGCGCGCGCGCGCGCGCGCGCGCGCGACTTGCCAAACTCGCGTACCCGTCTTTCTTGAATTCGCGTGGCTATATGGTCGATTCTTCGACGTTAAAGCAAAAATATTTATTGAAGCAAACTCCCACCAATGTTCATCTTCTTCTCCCCTTCTCTCCCCCCCCCCACCCCGCGCGAGGACTTCTCTTATCCGAATTAATAAGTATAGAACAAACACTAGAGTGTGGCTCAAACATTGGTTAAACGATGTAGTAACATTTAATGTGCATGTATGAGTAGTGGAAAAAATTCAACTTGAAGAAAGAATTGCATGTACATGAGAAAATAAGCGAGAGAGAGAGAGAGAGAGAGAGAGAGAGAGAGAGAGAGTGTGTGT